CATGTGACATTTCCACAACCTAATAGCAATTTACTTTATTGTTTGATAAGGTTGCTGGGTCACAGCTGCCAAACACAATGAATACTGATAGCTTTGAATACTATAATTAATAATAAATGTTATTTATCCACAGCGATAAAAACATTAAATAAACAGTAACAACTGGCCTCATATTTTATCCAATGGTAGAAAAAGTTTCACTTTTCTTTCATTATTTATGCGACATAATTTTAGTATGCACGTGATTGTGTAGAAATTTATAAATACCAGTTGTCCCCCTGATATCTGAATCCCGTTAGGTTAAAGTGGGACTAAGTTCTTCACGGCGTGGCTGAAAAGCTGCTCACAGTTCACAGGATGCTACCCAGAGCATGCAACACACAGAAGAACAAACCACCCTACCTGCAAAAGCCGTTTCCACGTTCACAGCAGCTAATGAGGCTCCTCATAAAGCAAAAAGGGCTGAGTTCAGTGGTTTTCTTTTGTTATTCACATAGCTACAGTTTCATAGTCATAAATAACGGCAATGCAGAACTTGAACGGTGGCATTTATCAGGCAAGCAGGTCTACGCCGCTCCGCTCGCGCTTCCGATTTATTAAATAGATCTAACAAGGGCATCTGCAGTTCTTTTTGTTCCCCCTCAATTTAAGTGTTGTGACAACCTGCACATTACTCTGACATACTTGCTAGTCTCAGGTGTGTTGTGAGGGAAGGAGGCAATAAAAATCTGTAGCTTTTCAGTCCTGGAGAAGCATCATTTGTGCTCTCTTCATCCCACATAGCTCTTCATAAACAAGCCGAGAGAGAGCTTCGTTGTTGTTCTTTTTGCTTTAATATTTTAAGGTTTATGATGATTCTTTCTCATCTCCATAGCTCACAACACCAATTCGAGGATTCTTCATTCTTTTATACAATTTAAAGGGTCTGGTAATGCCACAGGGACCACAATTTTAATGGCTGAAATCAAATTTTATTAATAGATTAGAAAGAGTTCAGGAAATCTCTAAAAGAGGAAAATATGAAAACGTTCTTTGGTTGATTTCTTCTTCAGAGGCTTAATTGAAAGGTTTTGAGAAGATCGTTAAATACATTAACTTAGAAGCAAAATTCTAAATTAGTTATATTAACAGGCTTTCACATGTGATTAGTCCTCCTCATTGCAACTGGATGCACACTAGATGTTATGAAAATTTGCTCCTTATTGTCACATCTTATACAAGTTGGAAACAAGGCGTAACAATTACTAACAATATTGTAAAAATACCTGTAATTTATTTTCAAGATGGAACTGATTTGATAACTAAAAAGGGGGGAGAAGCAGAGAATACAAGACCAGATGTCTTTCCAAATGTTTCTTGTTGGCGCACGATGGGTTCTCCCCTGGTATATAATAGATATGCCACACATTGCAGAGATGGGAAGAGAGCTATGCACCCGTCCCAGATTCCAGGAACTGAGCAAATCGGATTTGTCAGGGAATGCCATGCATTTATTTGCTTGCTAAGACAGACAAGTGCTTGCGGCTTCCTTTCATTCCTACTGAGAACCAGATAGTCTGATCCTGTAACCTTTATTCATGCAGGTTAGCATTTCCTTCCCATAGTTAAAGATGGGTCTAAATGAGTCAAATCACAGTATTATTACCCAAGGGAAAACAGAAGCACTGTTTATGCTTCCAAAATGAGAGCCTCAGCAGTAGGTAAGACATTCATTTGGTGCTTTTTCTAAGTAGCAATTTTGAGCTCAGAAAAAAAAAACCAAAAACAAAAAGCAAGTTGCCAGAATTTGCTGCCCCAGCAGAATATGAACACTCACATTTGGTAAATTAAGTAATACAGAAGGCATTAGTATGTCCGTCCTGCATCATGGCAGATGAAAACCTTGCACAACAGTGCTCCCCTGAGGCCGCAAGCACCAAGCATGGAGCGTGCGACATGAGCCCCACCAGAATCAACACCCGCACCAGGCACTGGACTTTCTCCCAATTACGGAAAAACTAAGATTGATATCCTCATCGGATCCTATACTGCAGTGTCTGTATAATGGGAACCTCATTGCAGCGAATAATGGTGCGTAGGAAATGAGTTCACTTTGCCCTTAACTGGATGAGCAAATTGCACAAGCAGATTTTGCTTTATGTTTCATAGCCCTCCCTCTCTCCTTCGACTATACACTCATTTAAGGACCCATTATCTTCTTGTTGATGTAAGGGGGCTATATGTATGTAGCCATCATTAACGGTAATGAGAATTGCTTCTGTTAATCTCCCATGTGCTGATAGCAAGGTAATAGCCTAGTTATTAAGTATGAAGGCCAGAACAGGAGTTGCACTGCAAACGAGCAGCACAGGGTCTCTGCGGGATTCACGTGTAAACGTTAAACGATTGCTCTGAAGTTCCTGCCTACAGTTGACGATTAAAAATAAATTAGCGATAGTATAAATGTGCTCTCCTGACACTTGGCTCCTGCCATTACAAAGCAGTCCCATGTGCTCTTATCTCATATACCCTCTCCTTTGGAGTGTTGTTGGACACCAGTTAGTGGACATCACCCTCCGCTCTCAGGTGAGGCGCAGGCTCTGCCTTCCCGCTGCTCCCTTACGACACATCATGGAGCAACCTCGCTGGCCTCGCCTGAGAGCTCGGGGAAAATGCTTGTTTGTGGACGAAACGTGTGGAAAAGATCACCGTGCTCAGCCCCACAATTCAGTTTTACAAGCAACATCTGCTGAGAAAACCGCAGCACTAAGATACTGAGTGCCGGTTTCTCTGTTCAGCACCAAACCGAAGAATCAAGTAGGGACCAGGGAAGCTCACAGCTGTTTGGTTCAGTTTTGCTTCGTTTGCAGCCATCCAACTTTGTTTTTTCCCCTCTTGTAACATCTGATAATTTAATATTCGTCATGATAGAGGGAAATCTGAATTCTATGGTGAATTTGTCCTAATACAACAAAATATGTTTTAAAGCACCCAGGTGCAAGCCTCTATGGTAGTAAGAACCCAAAGGGAGCTTGTGGTGAGGTGGGGGTCATCTAGTCTCCTAAGTAACTACCAAAAATGGGACAAGAGGAAATAGCCTCAAGTTGAGCCAGGGGAGGTTCAGGTTAAGATACGAGGAAAAAAAATCTACATG